ACCATCCTTCTCAATACGCACACCAGTACCAGCAAAAATCACAGTGGCTTCCTCGTACGCCTCGGGTTTCACGAGCAGGATCGACTTTGTTGCATTCAGGAAGTACCCATAATCCGACCCTTTTGCATTCAGGTCATCCCACCATCGCCGTAGCGGGCGCAGGCGGCCGCCAGCTGAAGAATCATCCGCGTACCATTCCTGTACCACGTCGGCAGAAGCAACATCAGCGATAAGCGGGGTGACACCCAAGGCATACATAGGCATGGCAATGGGGTCACGCGGTAGATGGTGTCGTATTACCCTCGACCGTGCCTGTCCCGTACCTGTCCCGTACCGTACCGTACAATCAAAGACGGCTGGCCACAATGCATATTCAAATAGGGCTTTCAAATACAAGATCATAACGTGAAGCAACTTGGAAGAATTAGTATGTATGCGAAGTGTATCGGGGGTCCGGGGATGCATGCAGGGCGATAGTGCGGGTTCGAATCCCAGGTTATGTCTAAAAACAAAAAGTAGAAATTTATAAGAATTTATAACATCCCTATGCTTTTTTTTGTCTAGGTCATCAAGGCAGAAAAGCATAGCGTAGGGCCCTGAGCTTCCAAGCTCTCTCGTTTAGGTCACGTTTGGTTGGTACGACCTAGAACAGGATTCACCAGAACAGCGCGTTTGGTTGGGACTGCACCTGTTCAGGGTCGGCCAGAACATGTTCTGCTTGCTCCGGCCTCGAGGCCGGAGCAGACCGAGCAGTTTCACTTTTTCACAGTGAAACCTGGCGGCAACATCAATTTTGGTCCCAAATGATCACGTGCATACGCTTTTGGGTTGGACTCGTCGTACCGTACACAGTGACCATGGTGACCCATACACATTTTTGAAGAATGCACAAAGTTTGGCATATTTTTCACAAAAATGTGCTCTGTTTCTGGAGTACCGTTTGGTTGGCATCATGCTGCTCCATGTGCACCAGCTGTTCGATCCTGTTCTAGATCGTACCAACCAAACGCACCCTAAAGCTGTATTCACAACTGGCGCGTGTACGCGTGAAACCACGCGTCTGTGCGTATTTTTGCTGGCCTTTGGGGCGCCATGCGTACGGAAACGCGCCGAAATGGAAATTCCAACATGTTGGAATTTTCAGCGCGTATCAGCGTACATGTACATGCCAGTCACTTTGACTGGCGGGGTAAAAAAATTAGTACTCGAAGGTGCCGCACGCGCTAAATACGATTTGGATTGCTGTTTCTTGTGAAAGCTTGAGCGCGCGTTTGGGCACGCATGAACCGCAAGCGTACCGCGTCCACGCGCCAGTTGGGAACACGGCTTAAGAATTGCTTCCTCTTTTTTTATTCAGTGGTTTGACGGAAAGACACAAATGGGAAAAGTCTGAAGAAATTATTGACTGTCACCACCAGGACTCGAACCAGGGACCCTCGCTTGTAGCCAGCAATGCTCTAACCACTGACTCACTGAGCTATGGTGTAGTCGTTATTCCAGCAGAGACCGTTCAAAGTTTTCTTCAGACTTCGTAACTCACACTTCCTGTGAATCCACACAGGCGGGTGGGACGCAGCCCTCACTGTAACCCACACACTTCACTTGCAAACTAGCACGCGGGAGCCCCGACTCCGCCCGAGTCATAAAATATTCACTGGTTTGAGGGAAAGACACAAACGGGATTTTTTATGCTATAATTAATTTTGTAAGTTAACAAAATATATACACGATCGATACAACAGTCAATCGAAAATGCTGATAATTACACAGCAAACAGCATGTCCAGCAACGGCATAACAATAGGGTAATGTAAAAAAACACACACCTCCGAAACGCAAGAGAACACCCTTGCACAGCATCTTCACACTGGCACACCACACAGGTCATCATCCAGCTTCAGTTAACACAATGCCTTGACGGCCCCTGAAAAATCCCACCGACCCCTCAATTCAATCTTGCATTCTGCCTCATGCCAATTCATCTGTAACCATACAACGGCCCACGACACGCACACCACCCCTAATGTTTTTTAAAGACCCAACAAAGAAAAACACTGCAGTTGTAACTGCCCTAGGCAAAAACAAAAGCGTCAACATATGTAAACACCCTTTAGTCCGGGGTGGGAGGGCGGGAACAAACTGAACGGAAGAAAGGCCACTGCGAAGTGATGGAAATGCGGTCTTGTAGGTACCACATTCTATGGAATGAAATCCACAATCGAAGCGATTTTGCAGTGTCTTAGCGCAAATTATTTCGAGTTATCCTCAAAGACACAAGCTTTCCAATTCTCTTCGGCCGTTGGAAAGCGTACCGTATTTGCATGCGCCTTTTCACTTTTGCAAAGACGGCAAAAGTTGCGCAAATCCAGAAGTGTACAGCTACAGAAGGATGGTCATTACTTTTTCTTCCTCCCAAAAGATGTTCATTTGGCACTTGAATGGTCAACATTACTCCCAGCTTCAGCTTGTTTACTAACTATAGTGGTTGCCTGATACTTCAAGTAGTTCACTCTGGACCTCGGTAGAGCTCACAGAAGTGTTGAAGAAGTCCGAAACTGTGGTGACAAGAAGTCGAAAGATCTCCCAGAAATTAGCAAAACTGCCCTTCGTAAATGGGAATTCCGCAGATGAAGAGCGGTCTGGTAACACGAAGGTTGACGAGAGGGGAGATCGTTGCAGGACCGGGCAGTTGAAGCAACATACCGGTATTCGAAAGCTCTTTGCCGCAGCTCATCCCTGGCTGGACGTTGTTGGTTACACCCGTCACCATGGTCACCCCGCATCTTGGAGTTAAACGGTTAAAACCTGAATTATTTGGATGGGAGTGGCACTGCGACTTACACTAAGTTGAGACTGACCCTGATCTCCCAACACTGCGTGAAGCTCCGTCTACTACTGTAGCACCTGTACTGCTGTGGATCTGGGAAGGCCAAAACACATCGTTCTGGTCAAACTGCTTTCCTCTGGTCGCAGGCTTTGTGGGTGAAACAAAGACTTTGTCCCATGACTTCTATAAGTGACACTGGCTACGGTTCACACCAGCGCATCCAGATTGCTGTCATTGCTTTTACTGTTTCTGTTTGTCATACATACCTGTTTGACTAGAAGATCTTGTGATCGTGTGGCAATTCTGATCCAGCTTGCCAATCATCTAGTATCGCCTGTTCACTTGTAAATGCTCAAATGGAGCACAGTCATGTCCAGTAAAACCCGGGTTAACTGGACCCTGCATCAAGCGCAATCCTGTCACATTTTCATGCACAAACGGCGGATAGACAGGTTGCCATGGACTTTGTGCACCAAGTCCAGTTTTTACCTGTCGTAAGCGAGCTCCGCACCCTGCATGCTGTATGTACTTTTACACATGCAGAAGCTTTTTGTAGGTCGCGGGACCCTAGTTGGCAGCATGAACATGATGAACTGCATGCAGCACAGGATCTAGGAGTACACGTAAAAGCGCGATACATCTGCAAATCTTGAACAGCACATTGCACATTATCATTGTGATGCGTCTACATAGTACACGTGTATTGCATAGAAGAGTGCACATGTCTGTGAATATACCTTGTTCATGTACATAAAGAAACTTATTGACTTGGTTGAGGCGTAGAACCAAAGATGATATCATGCTGATCAATGTTGACAAGCATATCGTGGGCTTCGCATGTCCCCTGCAGTATCTAGAGGAATCCTACCGTAATTAAATACGTACTTGAAGTATTATTTTACTTTAGAATCTAGTGGTCACGCCCGTACTAACTATCAGGCACGAACTAACTTTCGGACCTGACTTGTGTGTAGTGGAGAAGTCCATTTTCATGTAGATGTGCATGGTAAGCGCTGCATGTGCGGCTATTGTGCGCCCCGCACCTGTACTTATTTCGGGCAGTATGTTTATCGGGCTGAACATGACCCTGCACCAGCTCACTGTTCTTGTATGGAGCTGAACATGACCCTGCACCAGCTCACTGTTCTTGTATGGAGCTGAACATGACCCTGCACCAGCTCACTGTTCTTGTATGGAGCTGAACATGACCCTGCACCAGCTCACTGTTCTTGTATGGAGCTGGCTTCCGTAGACAGGCTACACAATGTGCAGTGTTTGTACAATGTACGTTCCGTATGATCTACACGATTTTCAAGGCAGGTGGGAAGAGTATGGTGTTATGAGACGGACATAGCATGCTGCAATGCCTGGCATATGTCGACTATAGGAAACAGTTCAGGCATGCAGGGTGGAATCCACCAATAAAAAGCAGAATAGAGCCACTGTACTCGGATGATACTGTTCCCTAGTGTGAATCCCTGCTTCTTCGTGCTCAGTGTTGATGTTCACCAGTATCACCCTCGTACTCACGTAGTCTTCTCTACGATAATTATACCATTACGGTCTGAGTTGAACAATATCCATAAGCAACAAGGCACGGCTTGCTTTCATTGGGTGCAACACTGGTTTTTGGCAGAGAACTGGGCCCTACTACAGTCAGACCTCGCTTATCCGATCCTTTTTTATCCGAATCCCTCACCATCCGGAAGAATATAGCTGGTTACAGATTAACAGCATACGTGGTGCATCCAACATAACCTGTGTTCGGTCATCCGGTTTTCTCGCCTATCCGAATATTTTTTTGTAGAAAACGGATGTGTGCGGTTAAGCGAGGTCTGACTGTAGTGTGCATATCTGTGCTTGTTGTTTTGCTGTATGTCATATCCAACTAATACTTATGATTGCTTTCTATCCCCCATCTCCCCGTGCTTATTCCTTTTTTTTGTGTTTTTAAACATGACGAAAAACAACGGGTTTAAAAAAGTAACGAGTTTAATTTGCTGTGGTCAAACAGAGTGAGGTCAAACAGTTGGTACCAGTCGCAATGGAATATGTGTGTTTGTGTGTGTGTGTGTGTGTGTGTGTGTGTGTGTGTGTGTGCGTGTGCGCGTGTGCATGTGCGTGTGTGTGTCTGTGTGTGTGTGTGTGGCTGTCTGTGTGTCTATGTGTCATAGATCCATCACTGGCGGAATCCAGGTCAGCAGTGCAGCCAGTCGTCATTGTCCTCCAGGAGTTTGAAAGCTTTCAAAGTCAGCTACTGGACGACTTTCTTTCTCTTTGCCAGTAAGAAACATGCAGACGTGTTCTCCTTCTCCTGGACCACTTCTTGACCCCGACCCCGACCCCGACCTGTCTCCTTCTCCTGGACCACTTCTTGGCCCCGACCCCGACCCCGACCCCGACCCCGACCCCGACCTGTCTGTGTAGTCATTTTAAAATACTCAACTCATTCCCCGATGCCGTCACTTGAACTCATTCCCGGATGCCGTCACTTGAACTCATTCCCCGATGCCGTCACTTGAACTCATTCCCCGATGCCGTCACTTGAACTCATTCCCCGATGCCGTCACTTGAAATTCCTCTCAGTGTCTCCTAAACACTGGGGAAAGGATGTTGGTGATTGCAACTTATGATTGTGCCATTGTTGTCCTCTCAAAATGTACTTATTGTTGCCGCTGCTGCTGCTGCTGCTGCTGCTGCTGTTATTTCAAGCTTCTATCTGGATCGCATACCCTTTAGGCTGGTGTTTGGCCTAAGTTCGAGTAGTAGCAGTGAGAATGTTTCGACACTTTTGCCTCCCGGTGTTAATCAACTGTTGGCCATCACTTCATTCCGCTCAGCTCCTGCAGCAACCTATCTTGCTACTATAGTCGAAAAGGTATGGCTTTGTGTTTCGCGTGCTTGCGCACATGTGTGTCTGTGCACGTACACACGGATGTGTGCCTGCTATGCTCATACCGCGTTTTCGGAAATTAGCGCCGGTCTTTTAGTACCGCCTATCTGAAATAAGCGCCACATCATTTCAGGGATTTTATGCGGATTTTTCCAATTGGGTGTATGTTAGCCCGTGCATGCAGTAGCAGTGTACACTCACCAGCATATACCACTGTGGGTTGTCTTCCACTTAGACCCGCTCAGCTGGACATTGGCAGCAGAATAGCCCTGCAGCTTGGTAGTCTAACTCGCATCCTTTCAGCAAAGAACATTCTACATTTTCGATTACATTGTTTGTGTATCCGAATGTCTGTTTGTGTGTGTGCTGCCGGTGTCTTATCAATCAACCCTCAAATTGGAGTCGCCCTGTAATAATGATTGCTCTTACCTCAATCTGTAGTTATTGGTATTGCTTGTGTTGTGCAGGTACTGTTTTCTGCT